CTTTGGTAAAAATGGCCCATCATTTTCAGACCAAGTGGGCCCAGGGCCCAGTACTTTCAAATTCTTGGCAGATCTCTGCTTAAGGTATTGTTTACATTAATTTTGATTGAGAATTTTGCCAGTATGTGTTGAACAATGAATATTTTCTTAAGGGAGGGGGGTGTGTGGAGTTAATCAGGAATAAATCATTATAATGGTCTGATGATAGAGGGTTTTAGAATTTATACTTCAAATATCACTATCAATAAATAGGTAAAACTCCTTTTTATAGATCAAATCAATGTGCTAAGCACTTTTTCACTTCTCCTTATGTCGTCAAACTTCTCCCTGATAGGAGCTGAGGGAGAAGTCACTCCTCCCTAAAATTTTGGTCTAGCTAGAGCCCTGCAGGACATATAGGGGAAATTGTAAATCTAACAGACCGTTTAGGGAATATTGTAAATCAAACAAAACATATAGGGGAAATTGTAAATAAGACACAAATATACATTTGAGGTAACTTAATTATCATTTAGCTAGCTTTTTATCATCTGCTGCATTCATATCAGGGTACTTCACAGCTTTAATTTACCCGAAAATTTAATGTATAATCAATGAGCTATTTTTAGCGATGAAGATTTCCAAGTGTGAATTCCAAATGCCGCTATGGCCACGCTTCAGTGCGTGTGCTAATTACGTCAGATTACACAATTAAATCTGCCTCCAGGCAGTCATTATGGAGTGGAGAAATATACATGTCAGACATTTCATAGAGATTTTAGGGTGACTAGAATTTCGGTTTTCCAATCATATAGGACGAAGTGAAAATATTTCGGCAAAGTTTTCGCCTGACTTCGTCCTGAACGCAGTCCCTGCGATTGGTCGGTACATTTAAAGCTATCGTTCATTGGCTTACTATAATAGCAATAACTGAACATACCCGAAAAGCGGTACGGTCTAAATATTTACAATTGGCGGACAATAGACGGTAGCAAACTTGGAGAAAGAGACCCCCACCCCCCCAAATTTTCTCCTCGGATTTACATCGTTCTCAAAAGTGGTTTGAGGACCTCGAAATCCGTGGATTTCCGCGAAAAATTGGCATCCATGCCCATTCCCCTCTCAAAATCATGTTTTTTACCCCTATTTCAGTAAAAAATGCCCCCCCCCAAAAACAACAAGCAAATCCTCTTGCCCTGATAATATGCATCCGTAAAGTTTTATACTTAGTCATAATGTCAGTTTCCGGTATTTGGTTGACAGTATTACGATTGAAATGGTGTCTGTTGTTGTCTGCTGGGATTTTAATTTGATCTCTAAAACCCCATAACCAATGTATTTGCACTACATTATCAACCTTTTTCCCTACAAGTACAAGTCTGTATGGAATGAACATGGATATTCACCCCATAATGTCACTTGAGTTTGTATGGACAAACAGACAGACAACGGAGAAGTACTCCCTGTCTGTCGCCACTCCTCCGTAGAGGCGACACAAAAACACAACAAAAAACAACATTTAAATTGAAATTTTATTATAAATTTGGAACTTACTTAAGAAATAAGAGTGCTTTTGTCACAAAACACAGTCAAGTCAGTCATACAGGGCTGCCAACAGCAAATTGCAAAATCAGAGGAAAATACGTCGGGGGTCAAGGGGGCTGCGGGCCCAGGGCAGAGCCCTGGTGGGGGCCCAGTGGGCGAAGCCCCCGGAAGCTCCTGGAACTTGATGATTTGGTATGCCCTAAAATCAATTTCCTGGACTCTAAATTTGACTTCCTTGGTTGCCTTTAAAGCCATTCAGAGACACTTTAGTTGGACTTCAGGTTTTCATCAGCCCTCAAAACAAATATCCGACATTTTGATGTATTTTGACAACAGACAAGAGCGACAGTGTAAACTGTAATTTGATTGGTTATTCTAAAATAGAATGCCGGAAAAGACTCGATTTGACCAATGAGAAAAGCGCTTACAGACGTACCATAGGTGGCTAGCGTAATGATAAAAGCCGAAGCGTGTCGGTTTTTGGGTACTGTATAAAATATGACGAATGAATTTATTGTCTTTGTCAAATTTACATCGATCTCAAAAATGACCCAGGAGCTCACGAAATCCGCAAAAAATCGGCAGCCCTGGTCATACAATACATGAACATTTGCATAAGAGTCTCTCAATTCATTAAAAAAGTTCAGTCATCAAAATTTGCACTAGCCTTACTGTAAGATTTTTCTGAATTTTTCTTTGCAAAAAAATATTGTCAAACAAGTTTTTGACATTTGTATTTTATTTTCTGACTGATAATTAAGCACTAACCCATGACAGAAAAAAAACTTGAGGTGAAACGTCTTAGCGGTGAACTGTGTGTAAATCGTTGATAAACAGATAAATATCTGGTTCGAATTATATGCAGTCCGAATCCTAGTCCAATATATTAGACGTTACAGGCTTGTTATAGTTTATGTCGGTCAAGCCTGACGTCTAATAGTTATTGCTCAAAAACGCATAGCATCATAAAAAATTCAAAAAATGTCTATTGTCTTGCCTTTCAAGCTTTATTCAAAAGCTTATCTTCTTTTCTTTCAATTTCATGCTCAATCATACACAAAAACTCTCAAACAATGTACTTATCAATTTAAAATAAAATATAAACATCAATCTATTTTGTCTATCAGCCATACTGGTTAAGCAAGGTGCTTTACAGATTAATTCCAAATTTTTGAATGGAAAAATATATTCGAACACACTGACGCAGAGCTCCAGATAGCGTGCGTATAAGCGTAAAATACGCATAGAAAATCTAAAATACGCATCACTTTCAAAATTCGTGCGTCACAGTTACGCACAACAAAATGAAAATACGCTCGTATGTCAAAATTTATGCGTAAAAGAATAGAAGTGTAAACATTTGATATGTAGAAAGAAAATGTTTTGAGCATAAAAATACAACATATTTCCATTTTATTGCATTGAAAACTAAAAATTCTGTTGTCAACAACGCATGTTAAAAACGAAAGTAGCAGGAAATACAGAAGGGAGGTAACTCCCGTAGATCTATCAACCTGTGAAATTATTGATGAAATTTGTGCCAGATAATCATCGTAGGAGTTAACACAGTATTAAGTTTGTTTAGGCATCTCTTGTCATACTTATGCCTCAATATAAACAAAAATATATTTTAATTTCTTTACATGTAACTTATGTTGTTAGAACAAAATAACGTTTTTCACCTGCAGTTTTGTACTTAATATTTTCGTACCCAGTCTACAGTTACGGACAATTTTCTCTCAGACCAATACTTTTTTTAAGGAAAGATAAAAAAATCTTGTTTATGTTTCTTTAATTCTAATTTCAACTATAATTGTTCAAACTGGAGTACATGATAAGGTACATGCCAACAAAAATAAAGAAAGAAAAATATTGACTCCTAGAAAATAAAATAACTTGAGGGCTTCCACTAGTGGAAGTTTGGGAGTCATTTACTCCTTCATTTGGCCTGTGACTTCCGAAAATCAATACTTTCCTTCTTTACCTATATAATGTGACTTCCAATATCAGAGATTTTGAAGTCTTTGACTTCCAAATTTTGAAAATGGAAGCCCTGATAATTTTGCTGTGTATCCTAAACTTGAGTTCCAGTATACTCTGGAAGTCTGACTTTACATGGCATGTTTTGTATTGTTTCACATTAAATCAGTATTTAATTTGTAAAGGTTTTTCTAAAAAAAGAAAACAAACAAACAAACAAACACAACACAACAATAAGTTTAATTTGTTTATAAAATATGCAAAATGCTTTTTTGACAGATTTTACCCCTTAAGTTTTTCAGAATTTGCATTTTACCCCTCACTATAAATTTTGAGGGGTAAAAACCCCTTGGCCAAAAAAATTATCTGGAGCTCTGCTGACGGTGCATGGGCAATTATTTCGTTAAAAAAATATTCCGTTAGATTGTTCTGACTCAATTAAACGCTTGCATTTGAATTAGCCAATCAGATTTCGCGCACTTTATGGCAGCCATTTGTTTATCGGCTGTAAAAAGAATTGAAATACATGAGAGGATTTAATCATGATTTTTCGGATGTGACAGTTTAATTATTTTGATAAAAGGTATTTATTTTTTAGTTTTGTTCATAAATAGGTCAAAACTTATGTAAATACACGCTGTCTTCATTGTTTTTCGTTCCGCCCGATTTTCTGGCGGAACATGCTATGGGTTTTTGAGCAATTTCGATATGACGTTGCTTTGCCCAGAAGCAAAAATATCTCAAAGCGACGTCATATTTATAGGACTATCCGAATCCATATATGGAAGCTACCTTCTTATTCATTTCTGAACACAATCAAACTTTCAAAGCATCTGGACGTACAAATCATACAATTTTCTTTACTCACTTTAGTCAATAAAATGTTTTTACTTAAATTAATTACTAGTTCCTGAAAGTTCAAATTGCCATGGCAAGATAAATCATGATCTTCTCAACGATTTGACAGGTGTCCGAAAAATAATGGAGCCTATTGTCCTCAATGCGTTTAAGCGATTATACATTTTCATAAAAAACTAATGCATTATGTTCATATGACAAATTCTTGAGATATAACGAGTGACAGCTTCAGGGATCGATATAGACAATATTTAAACCTAAATTTACCCTTTTGATTCTTCCGCCATTCCCGAGCAACGGTTTGTATGCGCACGCATACCATTGAACGGTGTAGCTGTAAAATTGAACATCCGGACAAATCACAACAACTACATTTAACTGAATTAGGTTATCTATGTTTGATTTTTCATTATTGTAATGTCTTGCAGGCTTTGTTTCTAAATATTTTTGCAACATTCATTCACGAAAATGTTTGTTACGTGATATTCCCCCATTGTCATTAAAATTTTACCTGTATAATAGGAAAAGTCCTAATGTCATTCCTTTTATAATTGGTTGAATATGAGCCATAGTCCCATACTCAAGTGAATCCCCTGGAATATACCCCTTTGTCTATATTTAAGACAGTGTAATAGAAAGAGCATAGAAACACGAGGCTATCTGATTTTTCAGATTGCAGAGTGTATTGAAGTTCTTACAAACCATTCCTTGTCGTCACTTGAAAGCCAAGAAAAAAGTTGGCAATGTATGAGCATCTTAATATGACTTTTTAATTGTTATCCCTTTCTCTGTCGTCACAAAATATAAATACCAGAAAACATGAGCCAATCAACAAGCATGCTCTATTTTATTTCCTACAGACAGTGAAGTACATAACACAATTACATGATATTGCTATTTTTCTATCATTATTTCACCATTTAAGGTGAAAAAATGATGTGTTTGAAAATTATCAATTTTCCTTTAATATCTATTGCAAATTTTTCAAAAAAATAAATTGTTTATAAATGAAAAATCAATAAACTTAAAACATTTTTAGTGGCAGGCATCTTCCATAATAAGTAGAGATATTTTCTGCGTAAACTTGTGTATTTACTTTATTTTTTTGTATGGAATTATTCATTCAATGATATTTAATTATTTTCTTAACAATGAAATTACTGTTTTATTTCACTTTATTTAAAAAAGGCCAAATACATAGAGTTCGTTATTACACTTGATTAGGTGAATTCCCCAGAGCTATGTGCAGAAAGTATCGGAAAAGGGTGTTTAGCTAGGTTTTCAAATTTGTGAATTTCTGTTTTCATTGAAATATCACTGTGTCAAATTGATCAGTGTGGTGAGCAAACAATATTTGCTTGGTCAGCCAGGACTGACATTGGTTAACGCCACAGGCATTTGGCTCAATATATTCCATATCGTAAACTGGACCATTATCAAGGCTTTGAACAAAATGTTCAAAATGATCAGTTGTCTTGCAAATATTTTGAATAAGTGTACAGTTAAATAATCTACCTTATCATCAAAAACATGGAGGAAGGTAGTCTAGTACTGGTGTAACTCTCCAGGAACGATGGTTAGGAAACTACCTGCCTATATGACTGAAATACTGTTGGGAAAAGGGGTAAAATGAAACAAACAAACAAACAATCATCGAAAACAAAATTACTATCCAGCGTAACTTTAAAATAAAATCTGCATAAAGTATATACATGTAACTCACAGTAGTGTATAAATACTGGACAGGGTCAGCATTTTGCTGTAGCAATTTTAAAAGTTACAACACCAAAAAACACAAGCAAACAATGTAATAGCAGCAAAATTGAGATTTAAAATAAATTTTTTTAAAGAAATGACAGGTGTGCACAATCATGGATAAAACTTTACAGTCATATATATGAAAGTATTTTTTCAACTCAATTTTCACAAATGCTGCATAATTTCCCCTTGCTTAAGTAGGAGCCTTTTCACAAAATAGCTAGAAAATACCTAAATCTTGGTAATTGAACCATCAAACTATTAAAGTACTATAGCTCTAATATTAATTTATAATTTTCAGTTGCCTGATCAACAGTTGGAAGGATGAAGTTCCTGTTTAAAGAATTATCTCTAATTATGTTCATCGTTATTTTCTTTGGAAGGTTTGCCCCATAAACTTGGTTGCAAGGGCATTTCATAGAAGTGTTGTGCAATAAAATTATCTTATAGGTTTAAATTACATTTCTGGTCTACTACGCTGTAGTTCTATATTTGATTTTAAAATTTCTCTGTGATAGTGTGTTTTATTTTGTTAATGATCAAAAAAGAGAAAATGTTTTAATGCATCATGTTAAAGAACATAATCTTATTTAATTTGCAGTGTTAAAATATTCAAAGGGGTCACAATACACAAAGAGAACTCATGTAGTTATAATGGAATGCCTGTGAAGTAATTTTTATGACAGGTGCAAAAATTTAAAAAATGAAAACATAATTATATTTTACTAAAAATTATGAATTTTGACCCGTAATGCACAAGTGTTTTTCTAAAAGGTAAGGGCAGCAACTCAAACCAAATAAATAAAATACATCCTAAACTACACTAGTACATGTACCAGAAATGTAATTTAAATCTATGGAAGATTTTATTGGCACTTGTATAAATACAGATTGCAATTGTTTCATGGGTTTTATTTTCTTACTTTCATTGTTTAGATTTGTATTTCCGAATGCTGTTTTCTTGATGTTTATTATACCATTCTTTTAAAAATCATGAATGAATTTCACCAATAGAAGAAACAGAGTGTTGCCTTGTGATTTAAAGATTCATCTATATTTTAAGACTGTAGAAAATACTTGCACAATGAATGTACACCTGCTTGGCATTCTTTGTTTAGCATTTGTTTGATTTCAGAGAAAAAACAAAAACAGAGATGATTCTGTTCATGTTATTAACAGCCTGTTGAAATATACATCACGCTTTTCAGTTTAAACATAATATTGCAACTCTACTGATATCCTTTTTCCTGTTTGTTTACAATCATTAACTATATTTTTTCTTTCATTGAAGAAGGATTTTAATTATAAGACTGGAGCTTATAATTATTATGTTGTATTTAACCATTAATCAGCTAACTTTTGCAATGGACTTGTCAGGGGAGGGCCGATCGCTAATGTTGTTAGAACTTGGGCCCAACCCTCTTCCTATTTGTTATTTTGACATCAATTTGTTTTTCTATATATATAGATGTATATATTAGCAATAAAGTATGATTAAACTAATGGACTTGTCCAGCACCCATTTTTGGAACTGTTCAATTATCAATTAGTCAACTACATGTAACAGTATAGTGCCTGAACATGCAGACTGACCTTGATCTATTCTGGTGGCATACATCATGGCAGTTTTAGGAATTACTGCAGCATATAACAAACTAGTCTACTGTACTGTTTACGTCAATAAAAATTATCTATCCTGTTATCTCAAAAAAGGTTTAAGTTATAATATATATTCTCCTAAGTAAGGTTCATCGATGTTGTCGCAAGACAGGGTACACATTGAATTGCATAAGCTCACAAGACAGGACACAATGATTTTGTTTATCTACTGTGCATAACTGCAGCATGTAAGCATATGAACTTCTTGTTTTTGCATTATTTTTTCATGTTAATGAGAAATGTTATAGTCTCTAGAGTATTTTAATTTTTCAGGAGGTGTGTCTCATTGTCAGATACATAGGGAAGATAATTGTAAGAGCTAGATGATTTAAATCTCTGGAAGCGGTTCTTTAGATATAGGGAAGGTAGCTCTTTCAGTATTGAAGTTGTCAGGTGAAAGTAAACTGCTTTAGCTGTTACCGTTAGTTGTACCGGCACGGCAAGAATGAGTACGTCAATGTTCCGTTGTGATCATTGTGACATCACAATGACCGGACCGGAGAACTACCAGCAACATATTGAAGGCAAGAAACACTTGAAAAAGTTGAAAGCCAGCGGGATGACTCCTGCCACTCAACCAAACCCTGCTGAGAACAAGCCAGGTTGGTAAATACTGGCTTATGTCATTTATGACCTTTTATAATATATGTACTATAATTATCAATTCTAGTGTAATTTTGTAGAGACTGACACATAGTTTGATTATATGCCAATAGTCTTGAGTCTGAAATATTATTATTATAAATGATGTTTCTGCCAGTAATCTATAATATTGTGCCAACTTTATGAGAGCTGATGCTTATAATATCAGATGTATGCAACTAGGCCCACTCTGTATATTTGTTATGTCTGATCAGCTTTTGAAGTTTGAAATTCTATCAATATGTAAGAAACAAAGTAAAATATTGGGTACTTAAATAATACAAAATAATAAATTGATAATAAACATGATACGCTTTTATGATTTAAGATGCTAATAATTATCTTAATTTATCACATACATGTGCCGATTTTGCGACTCCGTAAAAGCGGTATTGCACGACCGTGCATATATTTTGATGTGACGTCATTTGCGCTTTACAAACATAGTGTAAATAGTGTAAAGATGTGCTAAATGTTAGCGTTACACTGTAGGCGCATCAATGAAAAATGACTCTTTTTAACTTTAAACGGTCTTTATTTTTAGTATGTGATAAATAGAATATTAAATTTGTGTTAGGTCATAACTGAATTTATTGAACTCGTTGAATAAAATGATATTATGCTCGCCAGAGGCTCGCATAATATGATTTTATTCAACGAGTTCAATAAATTCAGTATTGAACTTATACTCATTCAATATCCTCTATATATTTGCTTATTTATTGATAAAATTTCAAATTCCAGGTGTTGGATGCTTAAAGAATATTAGATTAAAAAACTTAAACACTAAAATTTGAAAATCTTAACAAAAGCAAAAGATTTTACTGGTGCACAATAAAAATGATGACTGGAAAAACAGAGTGAGTGAAGAGATGCACACAAGTTATAGGTAAAGAGCTACATCAAATGATATAAAAAATTCTAGAACATATTTCCAATCCCATCAAAACCTTTTATAAGAAAATGATAGTTCAGTTTACAAATTCAGCATTTTTGTTCTATGCAAATGATAAATTTTCTTTTCAGTTCAATTGAAAGTAAAGGGGTATGAGGGACGTTTTGTAAAACCTTCAGCTGCAGTTAGTGACCAAGATAACTATAGAAATGAAGGAAAGACTGAACAGCCCTTTACATCACCAGAAAGTGCACATGCTGTCCAATTTCTACAGACAAGTGTGTTGGCTTAAAAGCCTGCTATTTTTAGTGATTCTTAAAACTTTCAGAAAAGCAACTCGTTATCATAATATAATTAATAGTTAAATCACCTTTTGCATTTTAGTTACATTTTGTATTAGTAAAAGTTTATTCTGCATGGATGATGGTAGATAAAATACATGTACCACTTTCTTTACCTTTTGGTACAAAAATATTTTTATGTTAAATTTTTTTCCACATTCAATGCTTCTTTCCTCCAGTGATAAACATCTGACATGCAAATGCTATAAATCCATTCTGTAAAATATTTATTAGGCATTGTTAGCTCACCTGTCACAAAGTGACAGGGTGAGCTTTTGTGATCGCTTTTCGTCCAGCGTCCGTCCGTCCTCCGTCGTCCGTCCGTAAACTTTTGCTTTAAATGACATCTCCTCATAAACCACTGAGCCAATTTCATCCAAACTTCACAGGAATGTTCCTTTGGTGGTCACCTTTAAAAATTGTTCAAAGAATTTAATTCCATGCAGAACTCTGGTTGCCATGGCAACCGAAAGAAAAATCTTTAAATATCTTCTTTTAAACAACCCCAAGAGCTAGAGCTTAGATATTTGGCATGAAACATCTTCTAGTAAGCGTCTACCAAGTTTGTTAAAATAAAAGCCCTGGGGTCAAAATTGGCCCCGCCCCAGGGGGTCATTGATTTTCCCTATATGCATATAGTAAAAACTTAAAAAATCTTCTTTTAAAGAACCCAAAGAGCTAGAGCTAAGATATTTAGCATGAAACATCTTCTAATAAGTGTCTACCAAGTTTGTTCAAATAAAAGCCCTGGGGTCAAAATTGGTCCCGCCCCAGGGGGTCATTGATTTTCCCTATATGCATATAGTAAAAACTTAAAAAATCTTCTTTTAAAGAACCCAAAGAGCTAGAGCTAAGATATTAAGCATGAAACATCTTCTAGTGAGTGTCTACCAAGTTTGTTCAAATTAAAGCCCTGTGGTCAAAATTGGCCCCACCCCGGGGGTCATTGATTTTCCCTATATGCATATAGTAAAAACTTAAAAAATCTTCTTTTAAAGAACCATAAGAGCTAGAGCTTAGATATTTGGCATGAAACATCTTCTAGTGAATGTCTACCAAGTTTGTTCAAATAAAAGCCCTGGGGTCAAAATTGACCCCGCCCCAGGGGGTCATAGATTTTCCCTATATGCATATAGTAAAAACTTAAAAAATCTTCTTTTAAAGAACCCAAAGAGCTAGAGCTAAGATATTTAGCATGAAACATCTTCTAATAAGTGTCTACCAAGTTTGTTCAAATAAAAGCCCTGGGGTCAAAATTGGCCCCGCCCCAGGGGGTCATTGATTTTCCCTATATGCATATAGTAAAAACTTAAAAAATCTTCTTTTAAAGAACTCAAAGAGCTAGAGCTAAGATATTTAGCATGAAACATGTTCTAATTGGTGTCTACCAAGTATGTTCAAATAAAAGCCCTGGGGTCAAAACTGGCCCCGCCCGGGTTGGGGGGGGTCATTGATTTTCCTTATATGTGTATAGCAAAAACTTAAAAATCTTCTTTGAAAAAACCCAAATAGCTAGAGTTTAGATATTAAGCATGAAACATCTTTAAGTAAATATCTACAAAGTTTGTTCAAATAAAAGCCCGGGGGTCAAAACTGGCCCTGCCCCAGGGGTGTCATTGTTTTTAACTATATGTGTATAGTAAAAACTTTAAAAATCTTCTTTTAAAAAACCCAATGAGCTAGAAATTAGAGTTTAGCATGAAACATCTTCTTATGGGTGTCTACCAAGTCTGTTCAAATAAACAAATAAAAGCCCTTGGGTAAAAATTAGCCCGGGGATGGGGGGGCCTATATACAGGTGAGCGACCTCAGGGCCATCATGGCCCTCTTGTATAAATTTCTGAGGCATAATGTGCCTTTAAATTCTATGTTTGAAAATATTTAGCACACATGAATATTCTTCAAATTATTTCTTTTTTAGCATATATCTTCAAATATTTGAAATATATGTGATATTATTTGAGAACCTGTTTTAGAATTATTTAGTACTGATAGTGAGTTGATTGGTTGGTTTCATTTGATTCAGCCTCCTTTTAAAATCAATACACTTAGTCAACCCCAATTTTTGGAACCAGTAAGCTTAGTTTTCCAAGCTTTTTGGTACCAGCAAGTTTTTCTAAAGAAAAGCTGAAAGGTCATAAGTCATGATTGTAGGTCGCTGATTTAATCACTGTAAGATAACTCTAGCATGGATTTTTTACTGAATTATTCTCCTTTATGAAGTCAGAAAAAAATCCTGGCGCTGGTTTTGCTTTTAAGCACTTATAATAGTCATAGTTGGGTATTCTGTCTATGTGACAGCAGCTGCTTTTGTTTTAAACTGTAAATTCACCATAAGGCTACAGACTACAGAATCTATCCATGTGGCAAGTGCAGACCAAGATCATCCAGCAAATCTAGGCCGTCTGTTCATAGTCAGCACTCTTTGCTATTCAGTCAGTTCTTATTCTGAAATTTTCTGTAAAATAAATAGTTGTTTTGGTAAAGACTGAAAGACTGACAAGTCTATTTAAGAAATTTAGTGTGATAAATATTAATGTATCAATTGGATATTATTCCAAAATGCTATTTCTCCCTCTTTCAAGGCTTTAATTTATATAATGTTTAGTAATGGATGCTACTTTTGTGGCCAAGTGGTTAAGGTTACTTGACTTCAAACATTTGTCCATCACCACTGTGGGTTCCAATCCCATAAGGGACTTTGAAATCTTTCAAGTGAAGAAGCTATCCACCTAGCTTGCGGATCATAAATGGTTCTACTCGGGTAGGGGTTCATGCCTAAAGTAAAACAAAGAGGGGCATTTGAGGTCTTCATCCACCAGTAAAGCCGGAAAATCACAATATGACTTCTACTGTGTTGATGCGACATAAAACCAAACAACCAAAAAAATGCAAGAGAAAAATGACAGAATCATTGTTGTCAATTATAACTATTTGAATTATTAACATTTTTAAACTGAAAGAAACATAAATAGTTAATGAAAGCAATATTATTGCTGGTATATTTGTTTCAATCACAGAATCATAAAAAATAGGTGACCTTTTGGCTGGTTGTTTGTTAATTTAATTGAAGGTTGATTATTAAACTATTATAGTTTGTATTATTTATATGCTCTGTCTGTTATTATTGCAGATAATGCAGACCCCGTTATGAATGCAGTGAAGGCAAATTTGTTGGGAAAATTACCTTTGAAAAATCCATTATACCAGGGGAAGTGTGATATATGTGAGGTAGAGTACACATCAAAGTCACATGAGGAACAACACCTGTCCGGAAAAAAACATAAAAGAAAATTCCAAACAAAAGAAGGTGACTGGATTTATCTTTATCATAAAGCATTTATAAACAAATTACTTGCAGTAAATTATATTTGTGCATTATTTCAAGCTTAATAATCTATATTAAGAAACATAAAGTGAAGTTTAAACCCTGCCCAGTAGCCTTTTAAAAATGTAAATATTTTTTCTAAGGTGAAACAAACAATAATTTGAATGTGGAATTTGGATTTTTTCAGCCTTAGAGAGTCAAAATGGTGCCAGTTTTTACTGTGGATTCTGTAATCTACATGTCAATTCCATAGAACAGATGGAACAACATAGAAGTGGTAAACTGTTTATTTATCTTACATAACAATATCAATAAAGTGGAACAGACAGTCAGAACAAGTTAAAGTTGGCTTCATCTTTTCTAAAGGTTAAATATGTAATTTTTTTAAAAATCGTTTCAAATAAAAAGAATTAGAGTGGAAAATGAAATTAGTTTATTGATCTCGTATCTGACGTCATATGACATCATTGTAAGCATTCCTTCTTTATGCTGTGCATATATCCTGTAATAATGCACTTGATTGCCCTAAGCGTGTTAAAATTGTTGGCAAAGTCAGGTCAGTATTACCTTAAAATGTACATGGAGTTTGAAGCACTTTGTATCTGGAAATTGAAAAAATTATCATTAATTATGTCATGAAAATATTTTTTTAAGTTACTGTAAAAATTAACAAAACTCTGATACAGTTGAATATAATAAATGAAGACTAATGGTCATTTGTCTCTCATTGCTTATTCAGAAATCATGTGAGATTAGTAGTCGGTCACTTACAGGAGCAATGGTATCACTGGTGAGTTAGCTAGGAAAGTAGGTCCGGTGGATGGACCGCCAAGATATGACAACACATGTTATAAATTGGCGTAAAAGCAAAAAAAAAAATAATGAACAATATGTTTTTTCCAGGATCTTCACATAATAAAAAGGTTGAGAATGCCAAAAACTTGCAACAAGGGACACAACTCCCACATTCTGCTGCGAAGAAGAAATTTGTGCCAAGCAGTGGAACAGAATCATCTGACCATGTTGTTATGCCGACACCACCTCTGCCTCCAGCAACTTTACTGGAGTTAAAACCACTCACTTATGATAAATAGATACTATATTTTTTACATTAAATTTTTGTAACGCTAAACCTGGTGAATGTTTAATGGACTTGTCCAGCTTCCATTGTTGGAACTGTACATTATCAATTTTAAAGGTAATAAAATGAACATTTAACGTCAGCCAACAGTATAAAGCCTAATCAGACTGTAATTGTTCTAAACTAGTGGCAGAGGCTAATTTCTCCTGGTTTCAAGCCAGTTAATGGATCTGTAGAGGATATTTGTTTGTTTTGCATGTAAGATCGAAATATATTTCAGTGAGTGGACGCCAGATGCAATATTTATAAGGGTGACTACGCCACTATTGAGAATATTATAGCTTGTGTTCATGAGTGAAATATATTTCAATCTTACGTGCAAAACTAAGAGATTTTTATGTTTTTTTAGTCTTTTTTACTTGTTTTCGCTTTGAACATCATAAGTTCTTCTTCATGACGTCATCACATCATGATATCACCGTAGCAATTTTGAAATTTAGTTCTGTTAAATGTCTCGAATTTCGTAACATTTTTAACAAATGTATACAGTTATTTACTTGCTCCTTCTAAAGAAGCAAAATTTACGTACGACAGAATTTATACCTGTTGATAATTCCATTTAGTTTTGAACTAATATTTTCATCCGCATTCAAATATAGTTTTAGCTACAGTGAAAACTATCAAATATAATTTCACTGTGAAAATTATCAAATATAATTTCACACTTTCCACTACAAAGCATGACTGTAATAAACAATGATTATTTGAACTACAATAGACATGGGCCAAACATTTCACATTGGACCAATCATGTTAATGTTTTTATCTAGTGTAAAAGTGTTCATTTTAGGGTCTGTACAGCATTCAAGCCTTGTTTTGATATACATTAATATTGTTTTGTTAGCACTACATCTATGCTATCTGATGTTAATGAAAATGAAATAATAATTTTTATTTATGACTTTAATTTTTTTGGGGGTAATTATTTTATTTTAAGATATCATTTACAAGTCCATACATTTTTATTATCATGCATGTTCTTTAATTGATTATCTTATTGCCAATTAAATTTGAGTATTTTACAGTGAAATATTTCTTTTTGTTGATATAAATTTTACAGTTTGTCACTATTGTGCAGTAACAGGTTAACTGCTATTAAATTATATAAGAAGTTAACCTGTTATTGCACTAAGGTGACAAGATGTATGTTATTTATCCCTAACTATTTGTATAAAGGACTTGTCCTACTTTGAAATTTGGAGGATTGGAAGAGTCCACTGTTGGTGTGACGTAATCGGATATTACAATATGCAGCCAATACCAACAACATATTGTCTCATCAAACAAAATCTATGCAAGGGCTGACTTTTTTATTTCACTGGCATCTTGGAACCTTAGTTAACGGTATCCTCTATATATTCAAAGGGAAGTTAGTCTTATACTCATACTTATTTCAGCTCAATTGTGAACTGTCACAATAGGGACTACGCTGGGATACCAGGCCGACCACAATTGCTATCTAAAACAACCAACAACTCAGAACAGAAAAATATATACAAATTTATTTACAGAAATGAATATTTATAAATGAAAAAATGATTGTATATGATAAACTACTATGATAAGTCACTGCACAAACAAACACTATCAACGTATCTCAGTCTATTCCTCCCGTAAAGTTTCTGTCATGATGTATCAATAAAGTGGTGGCGTTGTTAAACAAAATTCGTCACAATGGCGGGCGTCTTGTATAAAATCTTATCAAGCGTAACTGTACTTCCTACAGTGTTGGCACAGTTGATAGGATCCTGAACAAGGGCATGCGTCACCCTTTAGCCATGGACATACGTGTGGAGGGCCCGTGTCATCTTCGGGTGTGTCCTCAAATAAGAAGCTACAAAGTATAAAACATGATAAGTTCCATGATAATCAAACATAAGGGTATAATAAAGTCCCTTGAAAAAGACTCGACCTTTGTCGGTTTCCAATAAAATAACGTGCTTCTTTGAATAAACAAAATGTCCACTATAGTACACCATACATTCCGTGGAACAAAACTTCAATCACATCCGTATAATACTGCGTTTCAAATATATTCAAATATACGCCACATAATAACCACCAATAAATAAACGTCTTCCAAAATCATGCCACTGAAGATCCTTCTCTAGAGATACGTTAGTTTTGATACGTTGTATTTACTTATAACAAAAACTGATGATAAATGAAATGAAGTAAGATGATAACGTAAATTAAATTGATTGAAACAAATCATTACGATACTGCAGCATTTTACATAAAGTTACACAAATACGGTAGAACCATAATAAATTATTTATGAATAGATAATATATATCTATAAAATATTCACGGCTCCTATACAATTACAATATAATTAAAACTTCAATTAACATACATCAATTAACATGTCTCGGTATAAATTTGCAATAGCGAAACACTAGAATAAAAAGAGCTTTTAAAATTTAATCTGCAAAAATTTAGAAAACAATAAATTACTGCCAAATTACTAAACCTGAATCAAATAAACTATAATTCTAATAGAAAATAGTATTTTACGAAATAGCAAAAATTTATGAAACAAAATCACTAGAAAATTAAATTTACCTTGTACAAGCTGTAATTTTATGACAAATATAATTTGTCTGTCACCGTCATAGTGACCTGTATAACGTCCAGTGCATTGCAATATGTCACTTAAAATTTAGTCAATATATAGCAAACTACTGAGTACTGAGCGGGAAAACGAATCGTGCAAAAAACATGAAAAATCGATTTGCACGAAATAAAGCTGGGACGGCGGGAAAAATAGTTATGTGAAATAAAGGCCCGTCCTTCAAATACAGACATAATACATATATCTGGTTCATAAAACAAAAATGTAACTTTCTTATTACTGAAAGGATTTTTGTGAAATAAACGGCAAAATGTTTAAATTGATACATGGAAATTTATGCAAACCATAAAAATACTCTAAATAATAATTTCACCCGAAAACTCTAAATTAAACCAAAGATGATGCAATCTCACATCAATGAATATAGAGTAAAAAGAGGTTCGGCGTGAAAATATAATGCAAGATTTTACAAACGTACTTTCACTTTGTGACATTTACGCCCCCCTTTAAATAAGAAAATTGATAAAGAGCAAGGTTCACTAACCATAGATTTTTGCCCTAGATTTTGGCAAAAATTAATTCTATGCATATGTTTTGTTTTCCAGTTTTATTTTTAAGTTCAATCCTTAAACTATTAAAAACATATAAATTTTCAGACATATGTTTACATTTAGTATGATTTATGGTCAATTGAAATACCCCTATTTCTAGCAAAATTATGAAAATTCACGATTTTTTGGGTTCAAAAAGAAAATTAAAGTATCAGCACAGTCCAGCCCCAAAAAAAGATTTACACATTTGCATTGTAGAGTATCAAAGGCTTCTAGTTATATTGGATTAAAGTTGGGGCTTGCCTGTGCTCTAATACAAAATTGAATATTTACCTTATGTCTTGACGTTATTTTTTGACATTGTTTTCATTAAATGCAGCTCATAAAGCATATAAACGGGACTCTACACTATTTGATTTTGTGCTTAATTATTGAAATATGTTTCATAAAAATAAATAAAAATAAAATATGCACGTAAATCATTTTTAATAAACTTTTATCAGTTTCAAAATAAATCGAGTACGAATGAATTTTGGTACGAGTTTCGCCGGTTTCCACTGCGACAGATGTAAACAAAGCACTGACAGGTAAGCTTTTGCTGTTTTAAATGATTTTTAGTAATGTAAATATATGAATAAGTGCTGATATTCCATAATTACTTTCCTTAGACATGTCATTATTAAATTAGCAAGGAGCTGTTTGGTAAGTT